TGGATGAGGAAGGGTACCTCACATCGCTGGGGGGTAGGAGCTTGAGCTTGTGCAGGAGGTTAAGAGGTACCTCCTGGATATAGTCGGGCTCACCTCTACACACAGCTTGGGTTCCGGATCCCATCTGCTGGAGAGATGCTGGACCCTCCACTTCTTTTGCATTGCCCACGTGGGGAGACGGCGCACTGGGGTGGCCTTGCTCATTTCCCTCCATCTCAGTCGTCACGTGTTGGAGTTCACCCCGGTGAACGAGAGGGTCGCTTCCCTACTCCTGTAGCTTGGGAAGAGGTCTCTCACTGTTTATATGTCTTTTTGGAGTGCTTGGGAGGGGTACTAGATGGTGCTCCAACTGGGGACTCCATTGTTCTACTGGGGGACTTCAACGCCCACGTGGGCAGCGAAGGTAAGGCCTGGACAGGGCTGATTGGGAGGCACAGCCTCCCGATCTGAACCCGAGCCGTCAGACCTGGCAGGAAACATCTGTTGGATCCCTCTGTTGGTGAGGTCTTCCACTCCCACCTCCGAACAAGTTTCTCCCAGATCCCGAGGGAGGTTGGAGACATGGAGTTAGAGTGGTCCATGTTCTCCTCCTCCATTGTTGATGCGGCCATTCGTAGCTGTGGTGCCTGTCGCAGCTGCAATCCCCGAACCCCGTGATGGTGCCCTGAAGTAAGGGATGCCGTCAAGCTGAAGAAGGAGGCCTACCTGCCCTTGTTAGCTATTTTGACTACGGAGTCGACTGAGAGGGACCGGCAGGCCAAGCGTGCTGCGGCTCGTGTGGTCGCAGAGGTAAAAACCCGGGTCTGGGAGGAGTTCGGAGAGGCCATGGAGGAGGACTATTGGTCAGCCTCGAGAGTGTTTTGGCAAACCATCCTTAGGAGGGGGAAGTGGTGCTTCACCAACACTGTTTACAGCGAAGTGTGTGGAGCCGCTGACCTCAACTGGGGATGTTGTCAGGCGGTGGAAGGAATACTTAGAGGACCTCCTCAATCCTATTGCCATGCCTTCTGAGGAGGAGGCAGAGGCTGGGGACTCAGAGGCGGACTTGCCCATCAGCCAGGCTGAAGTCAGGAGGTAGTTATAAAGCTTCTCCGTGGCGGTTCAAGTACCTAAAGCCTCTGGATGTTGTGGGACTGTCTGGGCTGACATGTCTCTGCAATATCGCGTGCTGGTCTGGGACAGTACCCCTGGGTTGGCAGACTGGGGCGGTGGTCCCACTCTTTAAAAAGGGCGACCAGAGAGTGTGCTCCAATTAAAGAAGGATAACACTGCTCAGCCTCCCCAGTAACATCTACTCAACGGTGCTGGAGAGGAGGGTCTGGCCGAGAGTCGAACCTCAGATCCAGGAGGAACAATACGTTTTTTGTCCTGGTCGCGGCACACTGGACCAACTCTATACCCTTCAGCGGGTGCTCAAGTTTTCGTGGGAGTTTGCCCAACCAGTCCACATGTGTTTTTTGGGACCTGGAGAAGGCTTTTGACCGTGTCACTCGTGGTGATCTGTGGGGGGTGCTCCGGGAGTATGGGGTCCAGGACCCTCTGCTAAGGGCTTTCTGCTCTCTGTATGACCGCAGCAGGTGCTTGGTTCGCATTGCCGGCAGTAAGTCAGACCTCTTCCTGGTGCATGTTGGTCTTTGCCAGGGCTGCCCTTTGTCACAGGTTCTGTTTATTACATTTTTGGACAGAATTTCTAGGCGCAGCCAGTGACTGAAGGGTGTCTGTTTTGGGGACCTCAGGATATTATCTCTGGTGTTTGCAGATGATGTTGTCCTGTTGGCCTCAACCAGGACCTCCAACGTGCACTGGGGCAGTTTGCAGCTGAGTGTGGAGCGACTGGTATGAAGATCAGCACCTCCAAATCTGAGGCAATGGTTCTTCACCAGAGAACGGTGGACTCCCCTCTTCAGGTCGGTGGAGAGTCCTTCAGTAGAGTCATTGCTCCTCCACATCAAAAGCCTCCTGGTTGCCTCCCTAGGGGGTTGTTCCAGGCATTTCCCATTGAGAGGAGGTCTTGTGGAAGGCCCAGGACACACTGGTGGGACTATGTGTCTGAGCTGGCCTGTTGTTGCCTCGGGTCCCCCCAGAGCAGCTGGAGGAAGTCTGCATGGATCAGGAAGTCTGGGCATCTTTGTTTAGACTGCTACCTCAACGACCTTGCCCCGGATAAGCAGAAGAAGATGGATGGATGGATGGATGGATGGATGGATGGATGGATGGATG